TTCTTTTTGCGGATACAGACTAACACGGCTGCTACTCTGAAACCTTTAATTTTACATTGATTCCAAATATTAATTGCATTGTACTTCTGGAAATGTTTTTACTGACTTTATCTCTTACTTGAATACTACATTTGATTTAGCTGTTCTTTATGTATTTCATTTATTTTAATTTTTTTAGTTGATCACAGTGCAGAAAAGAAACGCAAGAAAGGAGCTTCCTTCCAAACAGTGTCATCGCTACACAAAGTAATTTTTATTTTTTTATTTAAATGGCTCATAATTTTTCTGTGTATTTTTTTAAATGGATCATAATTTTTCAACTATGATGCTACATTCTGATCAAAAATAAGAACCGCACGTGCTTTAGTAGACCAAATCAAACTGAAATTGAATGTTTGAATTTGGGTCTGGGTTTAGGTGTTGATCAGGGCTAAGTGACTAATGCATAACAAATTATTTATTTGTTTAATTTCTCTTCTTCTGTTCTTTCAATGTTCATTGAACAAATTTAGTTTTTTTAATTGTTTTAAACAGATTATTCACAATTTTTGAACTTTTTTTATTTTTGTTTACTCTATGGTTATTGTTTCATATTCATTTGAAAATGGAGATGGTCACATGATATTGTTTCTATTCCCTGGTTGGATGAGTGTACTGCTTATAATCAGGCTCCATGGATAGAATGTTCATGGAAATCTGATGTAAAATTTGCTTTACATGAGTATTGGAGCTTAAAACTCATATTCTGCAAGCATCCATGCTACTAAAACTGAAATACATTTGTATTATTTGTGGAAGGTGGACAGAAAGACCATGTCTTCACTGGCAAAAATAGGACCTGTTGTTCACCACTGGAGCAACTCCACCAGGGGGGATAATGGAGAAAGCTGTAATGTAGGCAAGCTTCGAGTGTTTTTTACCCATCATGTCATCTAATTTTGCTTAGAGCTACTGCCAGTAGAGCTAAATCAGTGGTGAATCGAGTCCTATTTTAGCCAGTGTAGACAAAGGTGAAAAAAGTGTGAAGATAGCTGAAGCAAATTTCCACAGACTGCAGCTTGATAATCGATAAGAAGGCACAAAGGGCAGCAAGTTGTCCAATTTCATTGACTTTTTCTTGGAGTTAAGAACATAAGGACTGCCATATTGGGTCAGACCAATGTTCCATCTACCCTAGTATTCTGTCTTCTGACAGTGGCCACTGTCAGAGCTTCCGGGGAATGTACAGAACAGGGCAGTTGGAGTGATCCCCTCCATCTTCCCCTCCTGGCTTCTGGCAATCGGAGGTTTTGGGTTACCCCAGGCATGGGATTACATCCCTGACTATATTGGCTAATAGCCATTAATGAACCTCTCCTCCATTAATTTATCCAGTTCTTTTTTTTAACCCAGTTATGCTTTGGCCATCACAAAATCCCATGGCAATGAGTTCCACAGGTTAATTGTATGTTGTGTGAAAAAGTATTTCACCTTGTTTGTATTAAACCTGCTGCCAATCAATTTCATTGGGTGACCCCTGTTTTTTGGGTTGTGGGAAAGGGTAAATAATACTTCTCTATGAACTTTTTCCATACCATTCATGATTTATAGACCTCTATCATATCCTCTATTAGTTGCCTCTTTTCTAAGCTGAAAAGCCCTTTATCTTTTTAGTCTCTCCTCATATGGAAGCTGTTCCATACCCTTGATCATCTTTGTTGCTCTTCTCTGCACCTTTTCTAGTTCCACTATATTCCTTTTGGAAAAGGGCATCCAGAACTAGCCAAGGTATTCAAGGTGTACGTGCATTACAGATTTATATAGTGGCAATAATATATTTTCTGTCTTATGGTCTATCCCTCTCTGACTAATTCCTAACAATTCATTAGCCTTTTTGACTGCTGCTGCACATTGAGCTGAAGTTTTCAGAGAACTATTCATGGTGACTCCAAGATCCCTTCCTTGAGTGGAAACAGCTAAATTAGAACTCATCATTATATATGTATAGCTGGGATTATTTTTTCTAATGTGTGAAATTTAGCACTTATCACTGTTGAATTTCATCTTCCATTTTGTTGCCCAGTCACCTAGTTTAGTGAGATCCCTCTAACTCTTCACAATAAACTTTGGACTTACTTACCTTGAATAATTTTGTATCATCTGCAAACTTTGCTGCTTCATTGTTCATTCCCTTTTCCAGATCATTAATGAATATGTTGGACAGCATAGATCCCCATAGAGATCCTTGGGGGACACAGCTATTTATCTCTCTCCCCTGTGAAAACTAACCATTTATTCCTACCCTTTGTTTCCTGTCATTTGCCCAGATCCATGAGAGGATCTTCCCTCTTATCCCATGACTTTTTAGTTTCCTTAAGAGCTTTTAGTGAGGGACCTTGTCAAAGCCTTTCTGAAAATCTAAGTACACTATATCAATTGGCTCAATCTTATCCACATGTTGCCCCCCTCAAAGAAGTCTAATAGATTAGTGAGGCATGATTTCCCTTTATAAAACCTGTGTTGACCCTTCCCCCAACAAATCGTGTTCATCTATGTGTCTGATAATTCTGTTCTTTACTGTATTTCTACCGATTTTGACTGGTACTGAAGTAGGGCTCACCAGCCTGTAATTGCTAGGATCGCCTCTGGAGCCCTTTTTAAAAATTGGTGTTACATTAGCTCTCCTCCAGTCATCTGATACAGCAGCTGATTTAAATGATAGGTTACATACCACAGTTAGTAGTTCTGCAGTTTCATATCTGAATTCCTTCAGAACGCTTGGGTAAATATCATCTGATCCTGGTGACTTATTACTGTTTAACTCTAAACTCTAAAACCTCTTCTATTGACACCTCAGTGTTGGACATTTTCTTAGATTTGTCACCCAAAAAGAATAGCTCTGATGTGGGTATCTCCCCCAACATCCTCTGCAGTGAAGGCCGATGCAAAGAATTCACTTAGCTTCTCTGCAATGGCCTTGTCTTCCTTAAGTGTACCTTTAACACCTTTGTTGTCTAGTGGCCCCACTGCCTGTTTGGCAGGCTTCTTGTTTCTGATGTACTTAAAAGAATTCTTACTGGTAGTTTTTGCATCTTTAGCAACTTGCTTTTCAATTTCTTTCTTGTCCCGCCTTATTATACTTTTACAAGTACTCTGCCAATGTTTGTGCATCTTCTTACTATCCTTATTAGAATTTGACTACCAAATTTTAAAGTAAACCTTTTTGCCTCTAACAACCTCCTTTACTTTGCTGTTTAGCTAGAACGGCATTCTTTTGGTCTTCTTACTGTCTTTTCAGATTTGGGATATACACTTAGTCTGAGCCTCTGTTATGGTGCTTTTAAATAGTCCTCATGCTCTTTGCAGGCATTTAACTAGCCCTTGTGACAACTCCTTTTAATTTCTATCTAACAAGCAACCTCATTCTTGTGTAATTCTCCTTTTTAAGGTTAAATGTTAGAGTAGGTGAGGGAGGGTTTGATTTTATCCCCACACAAGAATGTTAAATTTAATTACATTATGGCCACTATTACCAAGCAGTTCAGCTACAGTTACCTCTTGGATCAGATCCCATGCTGGACTTAAGAATAATGAAGGACTGCCTCTTCCTTTGTGGGTTCCAGGACTAGCTGCTCCAAGAAGCAGTCATTTAAAGTGACTAGAAATTTTATCTCTGCATCACATCTTGAGATGACATTTACCCAGCCAATATGAAGATAGTTTAACTCACCCATTATTTCTGCTTTTGTAGCTTCTCTAGCCTCCCTACACATTTCACAATCACTGTCATCATCCTTGTCAGGTGGTTGGTAATATATTCCTACTGTTATACTCTGTTTAAGCATAGAGTTTCTATAGTATTGTTTCATGTAAGATTTTTACCTGATTTGACTCCATGCTTCCTTTAACACCTAATGCCACTCCCCCACTAGCACTACCCACTCCTAGTCTGTCATTCCTATGTATTTTATACTCTGGTATAACTGCGTCTCATTGATTATCTTCATTCCACCAAGTTTCTGTGATGCCTTTTATACTAATATCCTCATTTAATGCCAAGCACTCTAGTTCACCCATCTTAGTATTCAGACTTCTAGCATTTGTATATAAGCATTTAAATAATAAATGGAGAAATCCTATCTCCTAGAAGTGGAAGGGACCTTGAGTCCAGCCTCCTGCCTTCACTAGCAGGACCAACTACTGATTTTTGCCCTAGATTCCTAAGTGACCCCCTCAAGCATTGAACTCACAATTCCAGGTTTAGCAGGCCAATGCTCAAACCACTGAGCTATTCCTCCCCCCAACGTACATTTTGTCAATATTCAGTTGTTTGCCTTCATGTATTATATTTAATTGGGACTCTATATCATTTGCCTGTTCATTTGACTATCTCCTACCTGTACTACATCAACTTCTTTGCTATCCTCTTTACTAGGATATAGAGTTCACCCTTTAATAAATTCATCCCTAACGGACGTCTCTGCCCAAACCAGGTGCTCCTCCACCCCTGTTAGTCTTCCCCCAGCCTTTAGTTAAAAAATGCCCTACAACCTTTTTAACTTTGTGTGCCAGCAGTCTGTTTCCATTTTGGCCCATTCCTTCCTGTATAGTCCACTCCTTCTCCAAAAGGTTCCCCAATTCCTAGTACACTTAAATCTCTCCTCCCTACTCCATCGTCTCATCCATGCATGGAAACCCTGCAGTTCTGCCTGTCTTTCTGACCTGGCCTGGCCCATGGAACTGGAAACATTTCAGAGAATGCTACAATGGAGGTCCTGGACTTTAATTTTACACCTAGTGGACTAAATTTGGCCTGCAGGACCTCTCTCCTACCTTTCCCTACATCATTAGTACATACATGTACAACAACCACTGGCTCCTGCCCAACACTGCACATAAGTCTGTACGTTTTGTGAGATCTACTACCTTTGCACCTAGTAGGCAATTCACCATGTGGTTCTCCCACTCATCACAAACTCAGCTATCTATATTTCTAATAATCAAATCCCCCCTAATAACTGGGGTCCCTGCCTCCAGAGGGATATCCCCTGTGTGCAAGAGAATATCAGGACATCATCTAGAAGATGGGTCCCAACTATGGGATCATTCCCCTCTACTCCAGCTTGCTGGTTCCTGCCCCGAGACTTTCATCCTCCTTAGCAGCACAAGGGCTGTTGAACAGGAGGTAGGACCTCTCTATGTGCCTGAACGTCTCCTCATGTACCTCTGTCTCCTTTAGCTCCTCCAGTTCAGCCACTCTGGTCTCCAGAGCCCATACTCTGTCTCTGAGGGCCATGGGTTGCTTGCACAGCACAACACATATGCCACCTTCCCATGAGGCAGGTAATCATATTTGTTTCACTTGGTGCAATAAACTGAGTAGCCCAAACCCTGCTGCTGGACTTCTGTCTGCAATTTTTTATTCTTGTGGCTTTTTAACGTAGCCTAAGTTTAGGCTATGTTGGTGAGGTGTTATTGGCTTTTCCTTATTCTGTCAATTACTTTCCTTGGCAACTTGGTGACTTTCTAATTGTTATAGTCCCTCAGACTCATCCCCCTGCAGCCAAGCTCTCTTTAGGTGGGCACCTAAATGCCCATTATGCCTTCAAGAATCTCCCCCAACACAGTCATTATGAAGACATGCATTGCACTGACATGCAGAGTATTCACTCTGGATAGTCTGTGCGGGGGTGTGTGTGCGCTAATATCCACCTGTAAATCTGCCTTATTTTCTGCTTATTAGACAATATATATTTTATAGCATTGCTGCTCACATATACACTTAGTACAATATTATGTTTCTAATGATTTAGCTAATTTTATTTTTTATTATACCCTTTTTAGGAAAATTTAAATAAACTGATGACTAACCTGAGATCTACAGCTCCTCACTTTGTGCGCTGTATTATCCCCAATGAAACTAAAACTCCAGGTACGGAAAATCCAACAATCTGTTATTCTATCTCCATTTTAATCCTGTTATTTTTATCCCAGAATCCATTTCTAAGTCATCAGCCCACACTTAAAAGCAATTTGATTGTTCTCCTCCTCCAATGCTAGCTGTCATTTCGAGACATTACTCCCAACTCTTCTCACCTACTGAACAAAATGAAGGTTAAATCCTCTGGAATGATCTCATTTAATTAAGTTCTTGAATTTTTTTAAGGTGCAATGGATGCTTACCTTGTCCTCCACCAGCTTCGCTGTAATGGTGTCCTGGAAGGAATCCGTATTTGCCGTAAGGGATTTCCAAACAGAGTGATTTATGCTGACTTTAAACAAAGGTAACACAGAGACCAGCCCCAGACACAGGTCACGTTTCTTCTCATGATCCAATTCCAATCAGAATCGTTGTAGCCTTCTCCATAAAAATTAGCCAGAGTACTTTTTCCCCTCTTTGTTTTACTCAAATTAATTTTCAGTTCAAAATGCTTGGAATTGGAGGGCAGTATTCTACTCTCAGTTTAAATCTGAAGTAGTTCCACTGGCTTTGCTGAGGTTACTCCACATTTATTACAGTTTAATGATAGCAGAATCTGATCCAGCATCCTGGCCCCCTTTACTCATTCTTCACCTGTTATTAACAGGTACCGTATTCTGAATCCAGCTGCCATTCCAGAAGATAAGTTTGTAGACAGCAGAAAAGCTTCTGAAAAACTGCTGGGTTCTTTAGATATTGACCAAACCCAGTATCGTTTTGGACACACAAAGGTAACAAGAAAAGAGCATGTGATTCCTTTTTGAAAGCAGAGATTTCAAAGCTGCAGGGTTCAGATCTAGATTTAAATGTTGCTGAAGTTAATGTTTTATATAGAGATATGACCATATCAAAGCCCACATTTGAAAACAGAGAATAAACAAAGGCACTGCTTAATAAAGTAGAAAAACCCAGCTGTAAGGTCCTGTCATAAATATTGACGTTTCCATCAAGAAGTAGTCTATATCTTGATGCAACCATTTTAAATGTGCTTTCTAATGGCAGTATATATTCAATGTAAGATAGATGGGGTAGTGCAGTTGGCCTGTGGTGGCATTATGGGAACACTTGTTATCCAGGAATTAGATAGACTGACAACGAAAATCTTTTCACATGTAAATCACCACACAGCTGTCAGTGGTTATGGTTACTAGTACCTGAGTGAGATTAAAACAAGAGACTTAGCAGCACAAGTAATTCTAATGTTAAGATAACAATACAAAAAATAAAACAGAGGAGTTCTGCTTTATAAGCCAAGACAGGCAGCTCAAGCACTGCATATTGTTTTCTACAGGAATAATGCTATCAACAACAGGTGTAGCTGAACCAATGCTGCTAACACTTTAACTGCCAGTTTAGACCGGACCAAACCATGATCAGCACCATTTCAGCTGTCTTATTTACACAGAGCAAATCTTGACTACAGTTTGTGAAATGGTGCTAAACACAACTCTGTCCTGTCTAGACTTGCAGTGAAATTGATACTAACACCTGTTCAGATGCACCCATTTTCAGCAATGGGTGGTTGATTTTCTAGCTTGAAAAGGTTCGTGGAATTAACAATGATACCACAACAGATTTGTTCCTATTTTATGTGCCCAAGTAAAAAGGTTAAAAACATTCCAAAGGTCTAACACCGATTAGTAGCATGGTTATTACATGAGTTTGGCACATTTGAAATAGGCGAGATCAACCTATGATGCGTACTGTGGTTGGGTCACTATAACGTTATATCGCAATCCCCTGACACAGACTTTTATTTTACCTAACCATCACTCTGCTTCTGTTACCAGTCTTCCCTTGACCACTGCTGTTACAATAAAAATGTATTTACATTGCTCCATGTTTCGTGAAGATGGGATTATTCTGAGCTTGTTCCTAAATGACATCTGCCTATATTTTAGGTATTCTTTAAGGCTGGTCTCCTGGGCCATCTGGAAGAAATGAGGGATCATAGACTATCCAAGATCCTAACACTGATCCAAGCAAGAGCACGAGGCAAACTGATGCGTATTGAGTTCCAAAAAATAGTGGAGCGAAGGTACAGGCAATCTTGGGTTATTTCCTTCAGTCTGGGGGATGAAACCACTCCTGTCTCACTTGATGACTAAATAGGGCCCTTATAGTAGCATTTAAGTCTCTAGCTGGACATAAATGAAGGATTACATAGAGTAATTTTAATATAGATGTACAACAACAGTAGTTCCATATTGATCACCCACATTTTCAACTAAAATCAGTCAGTTGTAGATGCTCAGTGTCTCTGGCAGTCCAGCCATAAGCAAATGTCTTGCCTGTGTCAGCACAAGTTCCTAATGCCGTTCAGAGTACAAAAGTACAACTGAGCTGAGGACAGGCTCAAAGAATGTATATATCTCCCACAACTCAGGCTGGGTTTACTTTGTTTTTTTTTATTTTTATAAACCAGAGATGCCCTTCTCGTGATCCAGTGGAACATTCGAGCTTTCATGGCTGTGAAGAACTGGCCCTGGATGAAGCTTTTCTTCAAGATCAAGCCCCTTCTGAAGTCCGCAGAAACTGAAAAGGAAATGGCCAATATGAAGGAGGAATTCTTGAGGCTGAAGGAGGCCTTGGAAAAATCTGAAGCCAGGAGGAAGGAATTGGAAGAAAAGCAAGTTTCTCTGGTTCAGGAGAAGAATGACTTGCTCCTTCAGCTCCAGGCAGTGAGTGGGCAATGCTATTTTTGGTTCATGTTTTATTTAATGTTCTTTCAGACATGACATCTTGCAGACCAAGCAGTCAAAGGGGACTTAGCTTTAGGTATTTACACAAGCAGTTTTAAATTATGCAGCTGCTCTGGCTAGGAAATGAGATTTAATTTACAATGGATATAAATTCTCATGTTTGAGAGCGCAAGCTCATGGTTTGCCAATGCAAAAATTCTGGTGTTCAAGGAAATATTAATGTCCAAATTAATATTGTGAATTATATTTCATCAAATTGCATGCATGAGTGGGCATGCCCAACATTAAAGGCTCCATCCTGCTTCCACTGAATTTATCAGGAGTTTTGTCTTTGACATCAAATGAGAAAAGGAGTAGACCCAGAGTTAGCATTCAAAAAACCCATATTAACCTTACTTCCAGAGCTGTTCTGATACACTCTTATGATCTGCTGTACTCACGTGTATTGGGGTCTGTGCTCCAAGAGAACTGAGAGGGGAATAAATGCAAAAGAATTAAGTTGGTAACTCCCAGCCATTGTTGTCATCTTCTCTGTGTTATGCCAGGAGCAAGACACACTAGCAGATGCAGAAGAACGATGCGACATGCTGATTAAATCCAAGATCCAGATGGAGGCAAAAGTCAAAGAACTGACAGAGCGGGTGGAGGATGAAGAGGAGATGAACTCTGAGTTGACCTCCAAGAAGAGAAAACTGGAAGATGAGTGCTCTGAATTGAAGAAAGACATTGATGACCTTGAAATAACATTGGCAAAAGTAGAGAAAGAAAAACATGCTACTGAAAATAAGGTACCATTAGAACTTGGCCACACATCTCCACAGAGGATTTATATATAGGGTGGGCTACTTTATGGAGGAGATATTGGAGTTCTGCTAATTGAAAGGCGTATATAGTAAAGGCCACCCTGCAAGATCAGATTATATACACAGTTGAGGTTGAGCCTGGATCTCCAGTTTCCCAAGTGAGTTCTGCTGCTACTAAACCAAAGAACAATGTCTGGTTTTACCCTAGTAAATAACCAGGTTGTAACTAACCCAGAGTTCTTTAAACTCTTCCTCTTGAACAGTCAAAACTTCTCTCTTTTTTCCCCAGAGAGAACAAAAAACTAGAACCTGCCCCAGTTACAGTGACACTGAAAAAAAATTGGTGGAGTTGGAAAGCAGATGTCCCCATAACAAAGCCACTGCAAGAATTGGCACTAATTGGCAGTTCTAGCTGAGAAGCCAAAATTAAAATGAACTCCCCCTTCACTGATCATCCTAATAGCCAGGTTAACTGCTTTTACAAAATATCCATCTCCAACTGATTTAGTATAAACTTCTCTCTAATTCTCCAATATGAGTACGGTCTAGGCAGTTCCCTCAGGCCAGGTTACAATAATCCTCTGCTGAAATTACTTACAAACACACCTGTCACTGCTATTGCATTTCTTCTACCACACAGGTCAAAAATCTGACAGAAGAAATGGCATCTCTGGATGAGACCATAAGCAAACTTACTAAAGAGAAGAAATCTTTGCAGGAAGCTCACCAGCAAGCTCTGGATGACCTACAGGCAGAGGAAGACAAGGTCAACACACTGAGCAAAACTAAGCTGAAACTAGAACAGCAAGTAGATGATGTGAGTTTGTCCCTCTTTTCATTTACATAATACTTATTTCTCCATTGCTTATGGCTTTTGGGAAGCTGGGAAACATTTTCTGTTTTTTTGTAAATGAACTAGACTAACTTGGATGTAAAAGTACAAACCACAAGGGGGAGGGTGTACAACAAAAATGGTACTATTATTTTCCTCTACAGTTAACCTTTTTTAAAGTGCAACCGTAACGCCGACAGACCCCGGTCGTTGGCGGGCAGGATTGAACTTGGGACCTCTGGAGCTTAGTGCATGAACCTCTACCGCATGAGCTAAAAACCAACTAATTAATCTCTTTCGCTAAGTGGTCTCGGTGCCACTAAATGGGACAGAATACCACACCTAGGAGGTGTGTGGGTTACACAACAATAACAAGAGGAAATCCATTTGATTTGTATTTGCAGTGTAATTGACCTGTAGTCAAACAGTGCTGTCTTGGAGAGACAGGGCAGTAATGCCTGCACAAACAGGAAGTATGGAGTGGCCTTTACATCATATTAATCCCAGTTTGTGTTCTTGACATGGGCTGATGTCAGCTAGAAAGAAAAAATGGAAAACAGGACACTGGTACTTTAACTCTTCTGCTTCAACATTCATTAGGGTGTAGCACAAAAATGGACCTTATATTTAACGACTGGTTTCTCATTCCTATAGCTTGAGGGCTCACTAGAACAAGAGAAGAAAATAAGGATGGACCTGGAAAGGGTCAAACGCAAACTGGAAGGGGATTTGAAGCTGACCCAGGAGAGTCTCATGGATTTGGAAAATGATAAGTTGCAGTTGGATGAAAAGTTAAAGAAGTAAGATACTGTTTGTATTGTACAGAATAATAGAGGAACCTGGGATTTGCCATTTCAGACCCATTAACCCCAGAATCCTGCCTGATACAGTGGCAGACACTGAATGCCATTTCAGAGGAAGGTGACCCAAGAATATTGTGCAGTGCTGAATTCCTTCCTGGTGCCTGCAGTTTGTACCCTGAAGCATGATATTTGATTGATCCCCATCTTCATATTCCTAAAATGAATATTTGTGAGCCTTTTAGCTGACCAGAGAAAAGGACTTACAGAAGTCTAAAAAAGGTGTCTACCCCATCTAACCTGCTAAAGTACAGTTGTAGGACCTCAGCTCTGTTAAATGTACGTATCCACTGAGTTTGAAAAGCAATTTGATTTCTGTGTGACCTTTTACAAATAACAGAGGTAAGAAGTTCTCACCTATAGCTATTCATAATATCAGAAGTCCAGCCAGCACTGATATTGTACAAGGTAAGGACGCTTTACGTATAGTAGCAGAACATATGAGTGTATGGACAGTCTTAGCTTGGACAATACGGTTCTGACAGAAGACTGTATTTTTTCCAAACCCAGTGGTGGTGAGATTGGGAGTTTTAGTGATATTACAACAGCAGCATTCTTCCCATTTCAGCTCTGACTGAGTCAGCACTTTTATTCCCAGGTCTTTATACGAGGATTATAAAAATTTGTTTTAGAAAATCTTTGCTTCAGCTTGTAGGGTAAATCTATTACTGCAGAACTTTATTTTCTTTGACAGGAAAGAATTTGAAACAAATCAGCTGAACTCCAAGCTGGAGGATGAACAAACCCTAGTGATGCAACTCCAGAAGAAGATCAAGGAGCTGCAGGTAATTTTTTTGTCTTCACTTCTTCTGTGTCAGGAATGAACCCTGGCAGGGGATAGAGAAGCATGGAGAGTGAGGGAAGGAGAGAGGAAGTGATGTGCTCTCATATGTTTCTGCCCTGGATACATGGCACAGAGAAGGAAGAGGGTGAGCTGGTAGGCCTGAAGCACAAATGCTGTGGCAGACTACTCTGAAGCATGGAGCGTAATAAAGGAGTCTGAGCCATCTGAGAAGAACTTATACATAGGAGACCATCCCCAAGCTTAGGGAGCCTGAGGCTAGTTTCACAAAGAAGAACCAATTTTGGGAGGCCACCTTCAAGCACAGGGGACAGAGAAGCCCAGGCTTAACTAGAGGGACCCTGGGTTAACTAATGACATGGGGGTTCAGGAAAGGCAATAAGGAGGGAGACTGAGAAGGAAATCTACATGAGAGTGGGTGCAGGAGAACATAAAGAAGGAAATTGGGTACCAGGAGGCTCAAAGCCTGGATTCCACTTGTGCAAACTGAAGAATTAGATTGTGAATCTGGCTCACAGATCTTGAGTTACAGGCTGTCACAGTCCTGTGTGTTAAAGGAAAGGAAAGATACAAACTGCAGAGATATGTGAAATAGCTAGAATTTGTCACTAAGACATAAAACCCAGAGTCCATTCCAGAATAAATGCTTCTGATCCATGGAAGCCCCATTACTCTCCTGAGTTCTGTATCTGCCAAGGTAGTTTCCTGTGCTTCTCGGGAGTGTGCAGGATGCTGCACTAATTATGCACTGACTCCTTCCCAGGACAAAATTTGTGACTGAACAACTCTGATGGTCCCAGTTCAGAGGTGAGAGAGGGAGTTGAAGAAAGAGGTCATGAGGCCTGCTTATTACCCAGGCACTCCTCAGTCTCCCACATCCCAGGCAGAGGTTGAAGAGTACTTGCTACACAATGGCTATTACAATAATAGGAAAGAGCCTCTTACAGTTTTCTTGAACAGTAATTGGGAGAGGAGGAGATACTCCTCTGTCCCACTTCCAGATAAATTGCTTTTCTTATATTCCTGGTCTGCAGACTTTGGACTCAAGCTTGTAGAGAAAGCACTGAGTGGTTTTAGTAGGAGATATGACGCCTAGGTCCTATTCCAGCTCCAACACTGACTTGTTTGTCACTGGGCAAGGTACTTCACTGCTGTGGCTTGGTTTCGCCATTTCTAAATTGCAGTATGTGTGACATGGAGCTGTTGTGAAGGGTCATTATTTATGAAGTGCTTTGAGCTTCTCTGGCAATTGCTAAGGAGGAGAAGGGTGTTACGTGCATGTGTGTCTTTGCCTCGTAGGCTCGTATAGAGGAGCTAGAAGAGGAGCTGGAAGCAGAAAGAGCTGCCCGAGCCAAGGTGGAAAAGCAGAGATCGGATCTGGCTCGAGAGCTGGAGGAGCTGAGTGAGCGGCTGGAGGAGGCTGGAGGAGCCACTGCAGCACAGCTGGAGATGAACAAGAAGCGGGAGGCCGAGTTCCTGAAGCTGCGGCGGGACCTCGAGGAGGCCACGCTGCACTATGAGGCGACAGCTGCCACCCTGAGGAAGAAGCACGCAGACAGCATGGCGGAGCTGGGGGAGCAAGTGGACAACCTGCAGCGTGTCAAGCAGAAACTAGAGAAAGAGAAGAGTGAGCTGAAGCTGGAGGTGGACGACCTGTCATCCAACATGGAGCAGATGGTCAAGGGAAAAGTAGGGCTTCCGAGACTTCATACACAAACATACATACAGGGGCTTGTTTTAAAGTTTCCAGAGAGGCAGAGGAGGGCTGGATGATTCAAGAGAGCAACAGAAAGGGTTTGGAGGCTTTCACATCTAGGTCATTTGTTTCACTCCATCCCAGGCTGGTGATGACCTTCTGATGGATATTGGGTGGCTTATTTGAAATGAGTTTGGTCCTGCAGCTCCTTCCTTACCAGTCATAGGCCCTTATCTCAGAAAGTACTACTGTGATAAGGGGTCCCTCTTAGCATTCTCTGAAGAGCACCCAAGTTCTGGGGGGTGATGGAGACTGAACTATTCCTCCACCTCACAAAGAAGTTCCTCTGGATCACTGTTTGAGTCAGATCAGCAGGGAGGTGTTGAGTGGGGGTAGTTTACACAGCCACTGCCTGTACTGTTACTTTGGGTAGCTAAATTGTGGGTGTAGTCTTCTGGGTGGTTAATCCCATCCAGCAATTCAGAAGAAGTTTGAAGAAACTTACGCTTGTGCATAATACCTTTTGAAATCATTGCAGGAGCTTTCTACCACATAGTCTTGGATTCTGAATGGAAACAATCATTAAAGAAAATAACTATTTTTCTGTCCTCTTGCATCACCACCTTGCACTAACTTTATTTTTAAGAGTTCAATTTTATAAATCTATGGGGGATCATTTCTTCTGGGTCACCTTAAAATCTGAGCCAAATCCTAAAGTCATTATTCAAGTTTTACTCAGGCAAACTTTTTTGAAGAAAACAGGAGGCAGAATGTATAAAAATGTCAAACACCATAAAAATCTTATTAAGTAAACTCCTTGCTTATAAGTATAATATTAACAAAATACAATGCAAGTCTTCTCACTCCAAAGCTCATTGAACAGAAGATTTTAACCTCTGCCTTCCAAAATTCTACTTGTCTGGGGTGAAAATATCACTAGTGTTTTTATTTTGAATCCTTGTATTATAGGGTAAACTGGATGGTAATGTACCTGGGCTGGGAAGTTTGCAGCTTTGTGTATCTTTTCTCTCAATTCCATTAGTCGAATGCGGAAAAACTTTGTCGCACATATGAAGACAACCTCAATGAGACAAAGACTAAACTGGATGAAATGACTCGCTTAATGAATGACCTCACCACCCAAAAAGGAAAGCTGCAAACTGAGAATGGTAGGTATATGCAGCATCAGTGAGCTTCTTTGAGTTCATTGCAGGAATGTGCTAGACCCTGGAGGGAACTGGAATTCTATTGCATACAGGTGGTTGGGTGGAGAGTAAACACCTAGTTAGATACTACCTGTGTGCCTTGCCTCACTTCCCTTCATCCAGGTTATAAACAAGTCCAGATAGATCTTTTTTAATCAAAGAGCATCCCCCCGGCCTTTCACAGATGTCATTTATTCGTGACACCCCTGCGTGCAAGTAGAAGCTCACTCAAATACACCTGGCTTTTTTAAAAAGAATAAGCTTTCCCTCAGGCTACCTGTGAGCCGTGCTGCCATCATATCACCTCAGTTAAACAGGAAAATGCTGAGCAAGGTTCAGTTGTGAAGACCCTGAACAAGGAACACCTAACCTAGGTGCTGCAGGAGGTAGTGGTGTTAATACAGTAGGCGGCATTATTGTTTGTGAGTGTGCTATGCCCCAGCATGGTGTTAGGGCATTGTGCTTCTGGACAGGCATTCTTTCAATGAGACATGAAACCAGTGTCATCTTAGTGATCATTCAAGATCCTATGCCACTTTTTGCAGGAGTGTCAATCTCTGCATCTTGACCAAATTCCAACTCTGATCACTGTTTTGTTAGCCAAAATTCCTATGTATTTTCACTTAGGCATTATGTTTTTCATTTTCTGTCCTAGACTAGTGTGCAGCATTGCTGTGCACTGTTAAATGCTGCATACCAGCTCCGCACTGGCTGTATTCACGTGGTGGCTAAAGTGTTTCATGTATTCTCCTGACCTGCCTCACGGGAGTCGTGAGGTTGATGTTTCTAAAGTGCTTTGCAATGTTGGGGGAAAGGTCTATAGAAGTGCAGTGTACAGTAATAAAAAGTATGAAGGAAAAAAACGGTAATTACACATGGACGCTAGTGTATGTCTACTTTAATGAATGATGCAAGAGTCCAACTAAAATTAATGCACCACTGTACATGCCATGTGTAAATAAACTAAAAGAAACCTTCTGTTGGGTTTGACCATTGCATATATCTGAGAAGGCTGACTCAGATGCTTTCCTTAACAAGAGATCAGCCATATTCACTGGGAGAGGGGGGTTGGGCAGGTGTAACTAAACCTTGAATTTGGCCCAGTGGGACAGCAAGCAGCTCATGTTCCAATCTTGCTTGGTTAAAATCCCTTGGCAGGTGAATTTGCAAGACAGCTAGAAGAGAAAGAGTCACTGATAAGTCAGCTTTCCAGAGGGAAGACATCATTCACTCAGCAGATTGAAGAACTTAGAAGACTGCTGGAAGAGGAAACCAAGGTAATGCTTTGACCCTTTCACCCCATTTGCTTATGTGTAGGCTTTGGACAATGATACATTTTACTTAGCTGTAGTAAAAAAAAAAGTGAGATGGCTGGAATGCTTGTTGATTGAGATGAATGGGAATGGATTTATTTACTTTTAACATGGAGGAAAACTAAAATCAGACATTGGAGCCTGAACATTCTGATGCCAGTACTAATAGGACTTTCTGCATCTGAACAGGACAAGTCAGAGAGCTGGGGAACAGGAGTTTCAAAACAATGAGTTATACTCTCTCTCTCTTTCTAGAAAGAATCATTCTAACAGGGGCTCCAAGCAGTAAAAAGTGTTCGATAAATCTTAGAATTTTCATTTGGATGCTTATGCGAATGAATTAGAACTTCTTTGGTCTCGATGCTGGAGTGGACATGTTGCAGGGAACAGGCTTTCTCGTGGCATTTAGGTTGTTTCTTACTTCCATTTGGACCAGAAATACCATGAGAATGTCCTTTCTTGTACTCTTCCCCTCCCCTCAGCTGGGACCAGACACTCGGAGACAAAGAGGAGAAGGAACTGAAGTTTTTGTAACCTAGAAAGGCTCAGTTTAGAGTGTTGGGGATGTGTTGGTTGGGACTTATTGTGTCCCAGACTGGTTTGCCATCCTTGACTATAACGACGTAACCTTTTAATCCTGCAGTCCAAGAATGCCCTTGCTCATGCACTGCAAGCTGCCAGGCACGACTGCGATCTTTTGCGGGAGCAGTTTGAAGAGGAGCAAGAAGCCAAGGCAGAGCTGCAGCGGGCTCTGTCCAAGGGAAATGCAGAAGTGGCACAGTGGAGGACTAAATATGAAACTGATGCCATTCAAAGAACTGAGGAGTTAGAAGAAGCCAAGTAAGTGGTTTATATTAGCATTGCCTTCTTCCTGTACTCCACTGGGAGAACTACACTCCATAGCATTTTTAACCACCCTGAAATATGCAGAGTAATAGGATTACAGTGCTAGTAGTTTCCACACTGTCAGCTGAATGTATGCTCTGTCTGTGTTGTGTTGCCATCTCCAAAGGGTTAAGAAAGAGAACAATCATTAGTGCCGTTAGTCGGGAGCCACACTTACTTGATACACCTCTACCCCGATATAACGCGATCCAATATAACATGAATTCAGATATAACGCGGTAAAGCAGTGCTCCGGGGGGACGGAGCTGCGCACTCCAGCGGATCAAAGCAAGTTTGATATAATGCGGTTTCACTTATAACGCGGAAAGATTTTTTGGCTCCCGAGGACAGCGTTATATCGGGGTAGAGGTGTAACTTGCTTGGGAGCTATTTATAGAATCATAGGACTGGAAGGCACCTCAAGAGGCCATCTAGTCCAGTCCCCTGCATTCATGGCAGGACTAAGTATTATCTAGACCAGGGGTGGACAAACTTTTTGGCCTGAGGGCGGCATCGGGTTTCAAAAATTGTATGGAGGGCCGGTTGGGGGGTCTATGCCTCCCCAAACAGCCAGGCGTGGCCTGGCCCCCACCCCTATCTGACCACCCTGCTTCTTGCCCCCCTGACTGCCCCCCCGGACCCCTGCCCCATCCAACCACCCCTTCTCCCTGTCCCCTGACCCCGCCGACCCTGACTACCCCCCGCCGCCCCATCCACCCCCCCTCCTTCCTGACTGTCCCCCGCCAGAACCCCTGCCCCATCCAACCACCCCTTCTCCCTGACTGCCCCCATTCAGTGCCCCTGTTCCCCGCCCTTTGACCGCCCCCACCCCTATCCACACTCCCGGCCCCTGACCACCTCCCTGCCCTCTGTCCAACCCCCCTCCACCATTCCCTGCTCCCTTACCGCGCTGCCTGGAGCACTGGTGGCTGGTGGCACAGCTGCACCAGGCCAGGCAGCCGTGTTGCCCAGTTGGAGCCAGCCACGCACCGTGCAGCACAGAGCACCGGCTCAGGCCGGGCTCTGCAGCTGTGCTACCCCAGGAGCTCACAGCCCCACTGCCCAGAGCATTGTGCCCACGGTGCAGTGAGCTGAGGCTGTGGGGGAGGGGGAACAGCAGGGGAGGGGCCGGGGGCGAGCCTCCCGGGCCAGGAGCTCAGGGGCCAGGCAGAATGGTCCCGCAGGCTGGATGTGGCCCGCGGGCCATAGTTTGCCCACCTCTGATCTAGACCGTCCCTGACAGGTGTTTGTCTAACCTGCTCTTAAAAATCCCCAATGATGGAGATTCCACAACCTCCCTGGGCAATTTAGTCCAATGCTTAATCATCCTGACAGTTAGGAAGTTTTTCCTAATGTCCAACCTAAACCTCCCTTGCTTCAATTTAAGCCCATTGCTTCTTCTCCTATCCTTAACGGTTAAGAAGAACAATTTTTCTCCCTCCTCCTGTAACAATCTTTTATGTACTTGAAAACTGTTATTATGTCCCCACTCAGTCTTCTCTTCTCCGGTCTAAACAAACCCAATTTTTTCAATCTTCCCTCATAGGTCAAGTTTTCTAGACCTTTAATCATGTTTGTTGCTCTTTTCTGGACTTTCTCTAATTTGTCCACATCTTCCCTGAAATGTGGCACCCAGAACTGGACACAATACTCCAGTTGAGGCCTAATCAAGCCTGTTCATGGTTGTCTTACTGCTCTGCCCCATTTTTCCCTGTGTTAGAAAAAAGCTAGCGGCTCGCCTACAGGAAGCTGAGGAAGCAATTGAGGCAGCCAATGCCAAGTGCTCTTCCCTGGAGAAGACAAAGCACAGGCTGCAGAATGAACTGGAGGACATCATGATTGACTTAGAAAGGGCCAATTCGGCAGCGGCAGCCCTGGACAAGAAGCAGCGCAATTTTGACAAGCTCATCAGTGACTGGAAGCAGAAGTACGAGGAGACGCAAGCAGAGCTTGAAGCTTCCCAGAAGGAAGCCCGCAACCTGAGCACAGAGCTGTTTAAACTGAAGAATGCCTATGAAGAGACTCTGGACAATCTGGAGACAGTGAAAAGGGAAAACAAGAATCTCCAAGGTAGGCCATGCATAACAGGCTCAGCAGTAGTTAAGAGAGAACCTGGTCTTCTTGAGATGTGGTGCCCAACTGGCAACTTCATGGACCTGTAGAAGTTGGAGAACATTAGTCTCGCTGCTGCACTGGAGCAGTGAGTGATGGCTGTTCCTTCTATCACTGAAATCTGTTCTATTTTCCTTCTCTAAATCCAGTTTTTAAACAAATTTGGTGCTGATGAAAGATGCTGAATTAACAGCATTTATCCACAGGAACAGGAGCAACATACGGGCAGTTAGTGCATGCTTTTCTACACTAACCTGCCAAAGTACCCCAATAGTACCCTGTAGCAGGCTCTATCTTCATGGGATAAAGAAGAAATCAGACCCTTTCCATCACTGGCCAACTGCTGAGGCTGCCAACAAAGGACCTAACTGGTACCAGTAATGGTGCTTTTTGTAACATGGAACACTTCTCTATTAGTGTATGAGAGACAAATAGTTTCGCTGCGGCCACTGAACAGCCATTTTGTAATAGATTTTTGGCCACGATCCCTTAGCAAGTATTTTGAAATATCCAGTCCCATGTAACTAGAAAAAAATTAATAGAACTGTACTAAGTTCTTCAACTTTATTGGCTTGTCGTCTAGAATTTTGTTTTGTTTACCATCCATCTGACACTTATTGAACAGAGTTAAAGTTTAAAATACTAGGTCCTATTTCAAAAGATCATGGGATCATAAAGGAACGCTCTGGTATTTGTTACCCACAGGCAATCCAACCAGTTCTTCATATAGGCCCAGAGGAGTTCACATCACACACCCCAATCATCACTGTCGGCCTTTTTGGCAGTCACTTGAGTGAGCATAAGTCTTGAATGGGGGTGGAGAGTTAACATACTCTGTCATTGTTTAGAGGTGCTACTTGGAATAGGAGTGAGGAATGTAGATGGACTGCTGCCTGCATGGGACATTTGAAGTTTCGTGGACAGAGCCCTTCCAGAAATTAGCAAGTTTGCTAAGCTGCTAAACCAGTTTAAAACTGGTTATGCAGAATCCCCACACAAAAGATGCACTGGTTTAATTAAACAGAGTTAAGTGAAATCAGTGCAACTTCTGTGTGTATAGACAAACCTTTAGCAAGTTATTTGGAAGGTGATTTTTGTAATCACTCTCTGTGCCTGGTGGTAAAATCATAATGTTATACTTGTATGTACAGTACTATGTTTCTGGGACTTTGATACTAAATTCTTCTTCTTGTCATTTCAGAGGAGATTTCTGATCTGACTGATCAGATTAGTGAAGGAAACAAGAGCCTTCATGAGATAGAAAAACTCAAGAAACAGGTTGAACAAGAAAAGTCAGAAGTTCAGTTAGCCCTGGAAGAAGCTGAGGTAAGAGGAAGGAAGGGAGGGAAGGAGGTTTGTCTGTTGCCGTATCACTTTCTCAGTCACACACACAGCAAAGAGCAAACATTTATTGCCTATTATTAGGAGATATCTTTCTCTGCTCCTCTGTATTTACACACCAACCTTGCTGGCCTAAATTTTCAAAAGTAACATGATTTTGGCGGTTTCAATTTTTGGGTGCCCAAAATGAGACACCTGTAAAGTGACCTGATTTTCAGAAACTGCAAGAAACCCTTCCTCTGAAAATCAGGCCTCTTCAAAACAGTTCAACTTGGAGCATCCAAATTCCCAGTCACTTTTGAAAATGCAAGTTGGTGGTTTTGTTCATCCAGTTTAACACCTTACTGAGTACGCCAAATATCTTGTATTCATCAGCAAATTCTTAACTCTTATCTTCCTCTTTGAGAATTAAAAGCTAAACTTTATGAAGTTTTATTCTAAATAATGGCTCGCTGTGGATTGTACTGAGATTAGTGCCCGGCTTTCTTTCTACAATGCTAATCTGCTAAGCAAGAGTAGCAGTCTCATAAACCCAAATGAAAAGAGGCCATTTAGAAAAATTTTAAATCCCAAAGGAGTTTGGTAAAAATCACTGAACATCATTGCAGTAATTTTCTGCAGTGATAGGCATGCATACATCCAGGGAGGACACACCTCAATTTCTGAGAGTGAACCAGCACTACAAAATTCATGACAGTCCAGGTGGAAATCTGCTCCTGATTATTCATTTAAAAGGTCAGCTTGTATATTTCTTGAGGTTTTGGTGCACTGCAGGGCTAGATTGGTGCATCACTGTATCATGGCTAGTATAGCATGTGGCAGGGGATTTTTCATTAAAGTCAAGTGTTGATTTTTTTGTGTCAGTATCTTATTTGCCCTCCTCTAAACAATGCTTGCAAAAATGAAATTAATCAAAGAACTGTAAACTGTTAATACACTAAATATGTGTAACTTTTTTTTGGTCTGTTGCAGGATGTTTTATACTTGGCAGGGATTTCATGGCCATGTAGACAGGTGTTAAAATCAGAGCGGAGGAAATAGCATCTTTTTCCATAGCTCTGGGGTGCTGCGAGTGATTATATGTGCTGCATACATATTTATCTCATTAGAGAGAATACATCTGTTCTTGGGGATATAATGACACACTTGACTTTCATGAATTATGTGGCATACTTCCCACACCCATGCAAAAGCTCAGCAGAATTCTAAGTCTGTGAGCAGATCAGGCTAATGAGTGCAAGTAAAGTTTGTGTTACATCCCCAAAATGATGATGTATCTTATTTAGAAGTCAGTTATGGAGTGCAATTTTTTTTAATAAGGTTTTTTCTTGTGAATCTGGGTTGCTGGCTGTTGTTTTAATGTGCAGTACTTTTGTGTGCTGTTGCCATTGGTGGCTTATTAGTGTGGTGTGTTTGTTAAAATGAATATAGATGCTGCATGGGTGACCAGAAATAAGGGATAATTTGCTTATCCATGTCTTTTGTATGTCATTATTCTATTGATATCACCTCTTCAAACAAATGTAGATCAATGAGTGACTCTGTCTGCTCTCTTCACAAGTAACCAGTCCTTACCCAGCTAATCTGCCTGCTTAAATCAGAGGAAGTTTTGGCTCAATCAGGAATGAGTCTGAACTCCCATTGACTTCAATGGGAGTTTTGCTTAAGTAAAACCTGCAAGTCTGGTGCCTTAATATTTAACCATAAGCTATTACGTAAAGTCTCTTAATCGCAATTTATGGGGGGGGAAACAAAAACAAAGGTCATGGGATTTAATAAGAGGTTACCATATAGTTTCCTTACAGGTTTTTCTGTATTTTAATGGAAAAGGGGAAGATCTTGATAGCTACAAGACAGGTAAACACATTAGGAAAGCCAGGTTACTTTTCTCTTGCGAAACTTTAAAAGGAAGCACAGAGATGTGCAAAGCTAAAAACAAAACCAAGTTTCCTTACAGGTTTTTCTGTATTTTAATGGAAAAGGGGAAGATCTTGATAGCTACACATTTTGTCATGAAAACCTGATACTTTTCATCCTTCCCTTCCTTTTGGTGTCAGGTTATAGATTCACATACACAGATCCCACTGCCATCAATAGGAGCCATGCGTGCTTCTAGAACAAGATTTGGCAAGGAGTACAGTACAGATGTCTTTAATTGATGATCATGTGAATGAGGATAGTTAATTTCAGCAAACACATGTACCTATTGCTGTAAGGCTGATGGGGAGGTGGGGCGAAAAGACAGATTTAGACAGGTTTTGCAAACAATCCTGTGGCTGAGTTCTGCTCCCACTGAAGTCTTTGGGAGTTTTGCCACTCACTTCAGTGGGAGCAGGATGGAGTCCTTTTACCATTACTGTGTAAAGCTTATCTACATAGAGTTTTTGTATTGGTACAAAAACTGTGTAGACAAGGCCTAAGACATCAGTTGTCAAACTGTGTTCTGTTTGACCACGTGTAGCCTGAAGAGGTGACTGCTCATGTTTCCAGCTGTCAAATTGCATTAAAAGACAGGTAAACACATTAGGAAAGCCAGGTTACTTTTCTCCAGAAGCAACTGTAGTTGCCACAGGTAGATGGTGATGGGTGAGGAGACAGTCAGGAATGAGAAGGAGGTGTCCAGGGTCAATCTCAATGTTGTGATTCATACTTTGAAAAAGTCTAAGGACCTCTGGCCTAAGAGGCTTGTTCAGTTGTGTGCATTTTATTTCAGGGAGCCCTGGAGCATGAAGAAAGCAAAAGCCTTCGTTTCCAACTTGAAATTTCTCAGATTAAAGCAGAGTTTGAAAGAAAACTGGCAGAAAAGGAGGAGGAAATGGAAAACATTAGGTACTATACAGTGAGAAAATGGTTTGTAATGGATGAAACTCAGAAGTTCTGATGCTTCTTCAAGGCTTCTGCCAGCTTTTCTGATCATCCTGGAAATCTGGCTGGAATAAAGTTTCTTGCGAAACTTTAAAAGGAAGCACAGAGATGTGCAAAGCTAAAAACAAAACCAACCGTTGAACAATTGTTCTGTTAAATGGGTCATGTGTGGGTAAGAATTGGATGCAGTCCACTTTTTCCAACTAGTTTGGCCATCCCTAAAAATACTTACAATTTCTTCTGCCTACCTAAAAGATTAATCCCATACTGGGATTAATCCTGGCTGCAGTAGCATGACTCAGAATGCAGTAAGGGAGCATATGAAAACCAGGTAGATTAACCAAACAAAGAAGACACATTCTCCAGCTAGATATAAGGTCATGTCTAGGGATAGGCTAAAGGCTTATCTTCACTAGCAACTTAACACAAGGTAAAGCTCCCTGACACCTGCCCACAGACACAAATCCATCACTTGTGTGTGTAGTGGTGGAAATAACACAAGTCAGCGGGGGTATAAGGCAGACCTTGAGAGCCACTAAATCAAAGAATCTGTAGTGTGGAAACAGACTAGTGATGCAACATTAGCATCAAGGGCTGCTATTACACTAATGCCTTCCAACACTCCGCCCAGAGAACTGTCCCACAGTAGGCAGCTGCTTATGGTGCCACATCTAACAAGATGCTACAACAACACTGAGACTAAAGCTGGTTGAAAAATGGAAAACAATTTCAAAATTCAAAATTTCTAAATTGTTTCCCTTTTGCAAGATTCAAAATGGAACAATTTGGGGCGGGGGTAGGGTTATGTTTTTCTGACACATTTGTAAAGTGTTTTCCCCGTTTCTTTTTTGCCACTCAGTGCAATAGAAAATGTCTGATATCCAGATTTTTTTTCCATTTTTTTTCCACTTTTTGCTTTCATTTTTCCTTTTGCCACCCTGCAACTTCTAAAAACTTCTCCATGCTTTTGAGAAATTAGAGTGGCAGAGTTAGTTTCATTTTTCCTGTAATTTTCCCAAAGTTGAAGAAGTTCTGAAAAGTTAGTGGCAAAAGGGGAAAAAAAGCCATCTCGAAATCATTCTTTCTGTAGCAAAGAGGAATGAAGGAAGAAACGGGGGGAGGGAGGGGCAGAGTTGAAAATTCAGCATTCATGAATTTTGAAATTTTCAGTTTTGATTAAAAACCAAAAAACTGTGAGAAACTATAAGCTTTCTGCAAAAAGTGTTTGATTTTGAAAACAAGTCATTTTCTATTGAAAACATTTTGTTCAGTTCTAACTAGGATCCCTGTGGCCATGTTCACCAATAGGCCTCTACTGAATTATTGTTCTGCCTGTGGAGTTTCTGCCCTCGCAGCCTCCCCTCCACATGGGGTTCTACTCCATCGTAAGCAGCAGGCCCTTAAAGTTGCAAAATGCACCCTGGGAATCTTTGTGCTGGCTCCCCAGGTACCTGCCTTGAAACAGCACTACAGGGTTCTGAGGAACATTCCTAACAGTACGGCCCACCAATGAAGAGACCCTAACTTAGAGGGAAAATAATGACATAAGGGTCTGAATGTGGTTGGTGAGTTGGATGGACTAATAGGAAAAAGGGAGCAACTGGAGGGCAGCAAATCAAGGAACACGGCTAGTAAATATAGGCAGAAAATAAAATGATGTGGTGTGCAATAAAAAGAAGCTGCTACTAGGCAGGGTGGCCTAGTGGATAGTGCCACAGTGGGACTCAGAAGATCTGGGTTCTGTATCCAGATCTGCCATTGGACTGCTTCACCTTAGTGAGCCTCAGTTTCCCTATGAGTAAAATGGGGATAATGACATTGCCCTTTGTGATGTGCTCTGAGATTTACTGAGGAAAAGCACTATAGAAAAGCTATCATCAGCAATACATATTCGGTGGGCAGGAGAAGCCTGGAAAGCAGTAGTGGTGGAAGAAACCTTAGGAGTGTGGGCGTGACTATGAATCAGCAGTGTGATATGGACGTTGGAGGGTGATTTTTGGACAGGGCACACAGAGGCATCACACCGCAGAGTAGGCAGGTGACAGTTCCTCTGTCAGTGGTTAAAATAGATTGAGACAGGAGCCGGAGCAGCCAGGGAGGAGCACTGGACGGGGAGTTCTCCCTCTGCTGTTAGCAGAAGGGAGGGGGGGGGCGACTGCACTCATCCCACTCTCCCTTACTGTAGCCCGTGATTTTTACGTCCCCACGATGCCCACACCTGCAACACTGCCTTTAGCTCCGGGCAGCCCGCTGCCAGCAACATGGAGATCCATGTGTCATGAGTTTATACAAAAAGCACTAAAAATGCTGAATTGACTTGTGAGGGCAGATGAAGAGCTACCAGCAAAGCTGTGCAGTTTGGCTAAGCAGAGACAGAATGGGGGAGAACTTATCAAGGGGGACAGGGGATGTAATAGGAAGCAAGGAGATGAAAGAAAGTTTTTTCTTGTTCCTCAGGTTATTTTTTTCCCTTTTAGTGAACCCTATTAGGCTGAGGAATTACTCTCCTTTAGAACTAGATGGGGCAAAATTCTAGAAAATGTGCTATAGAGAACAGTCCTGCAATGTCTCGGAGGTCTCTAATAGGTACTTTCCATCCCGGATATGTCTGAATAATGGTTTGGTGTTTTGATTATGTGAGATTTGGAACAGTTCCCAGACACGCTGGGCTGTTCCTGAGAACTCTGGGGCTGTTGTGAGTGATATGAATCTCAGCACTTATTTTGTATAACAAAGGAGAGGAAACAGACCAATTATGGGTCAATATAGTCACTGCCAAAAGCCCTTTAAAAAGTTCAGCAAACAAAAATATCAGGCTTTGAATCATTTTCTAGTAGAGAGAGGGGATAATGAAGAACCTGCAAAAACCTAAAACCATGTGGATCAGAAATAGGAATTCCTGAGTTCTAATATCTCACTGTATTGCAGAGGACAAACTATATACCTCTCTGTATCTGTTTCTCCATGTATAAAATAGGAATACTTGCCTACCTATCAGAGGTGTTGAGTATTGATTGATGGTTAATGCCTGTATAAAATGGCGCAGATGTAAAGCACTGAACTAGTGCCAAGAATTAAGTATTGTTTGTTAGGTTCAAACCCAGAAGAAAGAATTTGTGACCCTCCCCAGTGTAATAGCCTCAAAGGTGCTATTTGGACATTTAGGGAGGAAGAAGAGGGGAATAATGGGGCTTGCTATGTGGCACGTAATAGTCAAGCCTCCTGTGGACTGTAATACTTTGGTCTAATTTCGGATGTTGGGTTTAGTGTGCGGGTGCTGGGTGGCCTAGGTGGCCTGTGATATAGAGGAGGACAGACTGGAGGATCTGGTGGTCCCGTCTGGCCTTAAACTCTGACTATGATCAGGAGTTTATTGAGGGGAGCAGACAGATCTAGTGGTCACGATGGGTCATTATGTACTACCGCTGTATACACTCATCCATACAGAAATATGATTCCATTCCTGAAAATGCAACTCTTGGGAAATAAAATATTATTGGAGGTAATTAAAACTTCTGTGAAGGGAGGGGAAAGAATTCCTTACCCATAATGTCTTTTGAATATTACTCCAAAATTAGGAGAAACCAGCAGCGTACCATAGACTCGCTGCAGTCCACCCTTGATTCTGAAGCCAAGAGCAGAAATGAGGCCATCCGGCTGAAGAAGAAGATGGAAGGGGACCTCAACGAGATGGAAATCCAGCTCAGCCATGCTAACAGGCATGCCTCAGAGGCAATAAAGTCTGCACGTATCCTGCAGGCACAAATAAAGGTACCCCATAGTGCTGCCAGTCCGAACTACCCAACTACAAGCAAGGGCTGGGTTTTATTAATATGTAGCAATTCAAACAGAAAAAACACATACGCAGAGCAAGTGCTTTTACAGCAATAATTATTAGTACAAATTGAGACTCTGTTCCAAAAGACTAGGTGCAGTTAGAGTGCCCTGCAGAGCATGGCCAGTCTTTGGTGTGTGTCTGCTGCAAAGTACTTCTTAGCCTATAACATCTTCAAAGAGCTTGATAAAAATTGAATCAGATTCTGCCCTAGGGTCACAGGGCCCCGATGGAAAGACTGCCCTCTGTGAGGGGGAAAAGCAGAAGTGCAAGGAACTTCCTCTCCCCAGGTCCTTTAAAGGAGTAGCCATTTGACAGGGAGTCAGAATGGCCAGATTATCTGTGTAGCTTCATTTAACTTAATTCTCCAGAGCCTCTGACAACTGGTTTCCTATTAAGCCCTGACACCATTTTAAAGTCAGGTTTCCTTAATCCATCACCTGCACTCCCCAGAGGATAAATCCACAAAATACCCCTCATTTGAAACCACCACTGATTTGAAGGTTCCGTTCATGCCCAGCAGGCCAGGGTGAATTACACCTACTGTTTTTCACAACATTGAGGGTGGAGGCAGGGAGAAAGTCTTTTTCAGTACTTCTTTAAGCAGGAGCTAAAACAGCTTCGAGACCACCTGGATGAGCCCCCACTCCACATTGTTCAATCAGATTTTCAGAGGGTTTGGCAGTTAACAGCAAAGACGAGCTCAAGTAGGGTGACCAGATAGCAAGCATGAAAAATCAGGACGGGGGGGAGGAGGGGGCATAACAGGAGCCTATATAAGAAAAAGCCCTGAATATCGGGACTGGCCCTATAAAATCAGGACATCTGGTCACCCTAAGCTCAAGTCCCATCATGCTGGTGTGTGAGAATGCTGCTGTTTCTGCTCCAGGACCTGCAAGTGCAGTTGGATGATTCAGAACACCTGAATGAAGACCTGAAGGAGCAACTGGCGGTCACTGACAGGCGGAACAATCTTCTCCAGTCAGAGCTTGATGAGCTGAGGGCCCTGCTAGACCAGACTGAACGTGGGCGTAAGCTGGCAGAACACGAGCTACTGGAAGCCACCGAACGTGTGAACCTTCTCCACACCCAGGTTGGATTTCACTGCGGGGAGGGGGCAGTTTCCTAAGCTGTGTGTGCACTATACTCAAGAAGCAGCAGTAGTGGCTATTGGGGAAACGAGAAGACTGCACATGCCAGAAAGATATGAACTCCATAGCCACCGACCGTCATCTGTCAGAGAGGTTTCATTCATTCCACTAAAGGAAATGAGTCAGTCTCTCTCTCTCTCCATATCATACTTCATTCCCATCATGATATCAGTGCAGAAGTGCTCTAGCCTGCTATAATAAACACTTCCTAGAAAGGGTAAGGAAGGAAGTCAGATGATAATTGGGTCTTTACCTTCTTCACAGGGTGTCATAGAATTTCAGACTATCTTACTACTATGTTTACATTCAGCAATGTTAAAACCCAGTTGGGTTTGTGGATTGTATGGACACTATTTTGATGGGGGGCAGGAGAAGCGGTATGTATGACCTTTTCATGCAAGCTGCTTAGAGAAGCCTTCAGTTAAACATGCAAAGGCCATTCATTATGCATAGCTACATTGAGCAAGACAGTACATTGGAACCAGCAGCAAGCGGCTCCGTACCACATCAAAGGTCCTCATCAATATAGGGCCATCAAATGGTGGGCTAATGAGGACTGGGGCAGGGGGAGCAGATAAAATAAGTGATTTGCCCTTGTTGCTTGTTACCTCCTTAAGCACAAGTGGAGACTTAGCAGGTTCTAGGAGGCTGTCTCTTCATAGACAAGGATTTCCACTTCAAACCCCTATGAGCCCATCTCTAAATAATTAACTACCAGCAGGCTATGAAAGCTTGTCATGCATTAGCAAAGCTTGTGCTATTAACACATTATGTGCTACCTCCTGAACTGCAGCTACAATATTGGATTTCCACTTTAATCACCTTTTAGAATAACTGATTATGGGACCTTCATTGACCAGAGCTGAAAACACTGCACCAGTCCCCTATTTCAGTGTTTGGCTGAATTTTTTTGTTTAGTTCCCTTTTGATTGTTAAATATGGATATTCAGAGCTCTGGGGACTTTTTAAAAAAAGATAAAATACACACAACCTAAAGATAATCTAAAAAGTCGGCCTCTACCATGTTAATAAATACTGTACCCTGTGAAGCCTAGGGAGCTGCAAAAATAGATGTGTGGTCATAGGTAGGTTTGTTGTAGGACTTAAACAATTTATATCCCTAATAATCTTTCCCCTTCTTTTTTTAACAAAAAGAACACAAGCCTTATCAATCAGAAGAAGAAGCTGGAGACTGACATCTCTCAGATGCAGAATGAAGTGGAGGAGGCTATACAGGAGTGCAGGAACGCTGAAGAAAAAGCCAAGAAAGCTATCACCGATGTAAGTAGACTGGGTGCTTGTTTCCTTTTGCAGGTGTAGCACCATATTCTGACAACACTTTGTTCCTCCTGAATTTCCATTTCTGTGGCTATGGGGGGGGGGGGGAACGGTTTATTCAGTGGGCTCCAGGGCTGGCTGAAAGAGGTTAATGCTGCCCTGGTGCAGAAAAGGTTGGAGGGAGGAAAAGAGAAACGTTTTCTCCTTGGTCAATTTCTCTTCTCCAAGAAGGGGCACATCTGCTGATCCTGAAAGTCTGGGTTGGATCGTGTCACCTCCAAATAGATCTTTGCATCTGGACAAGCTGAGCCAGTTGGGAGCCCACCAACCAACTTCCACTTGGCAGCTGCATAGATCACAAAAAAGGCTCTGTTAGGGGTGGGAGGTAACATTCCAGATTCCCAAAAGAGTAACTTTAAAGTCAGATACCAGCCAGAGATGTGGGAAACCACATGACACTACTCTCAGCACAAGACTTATGGTCAAGAGAAGAGTGATCGAAGACATCTCTTGGAGAGCAGAGTGGTCAAGCTAGTGTTGTTTCAGCTCCACCAGAACTGGAGAAATCAATGTTGCCAGAATCGTTATGTCAGCAAACAATGTGAAATCCAGGGACCCAGGTTTCACAGTGTTGAGTCCCCATGAGTTGTACACCCAGAATTCCTGGAGGAAGTTCCTCCTGTATCTTTTTCCCAACTGTTCCTCAGCTGGTCTATCTCCTTAAGAGGTGGGAGATGTCACCAGTTCAACTCCAGCCCAGTTATTACCTTCTGATGGCTGTTCAGTGACCTCTCCAAAATATGTAGCTGGACCTTGGTTTTATCACATCTGTCTGTTCAGAAATAGACTCATTGCACCGCTGTAGCCATGTCAGCAGAAAGACCCAAGACACAATAGGACATGGCCCCTGAACTCTTCGTCCCTAGATGTGGTACCTTCCGGTCACTGCTGGCATAAACTGGGGAAGCTTCCCTGACACTCCCCAGACTCTACCTGTTCTATGGATAAATAGATAGTTGGTCTTTCAGGCCTGTTAGCCCAGCAACTTTCACAAGCATTGCATCCAGACCATTTTTAGTACATAAAACGTATGTAACAAATGGCCCAGTTTTACTCAACAGGAAAGCCACATACAGATATTGAAGTAGGAAGCTAAATCTTAAATCACAAAATTAAAAGCAAGACATGGAAAAGACCTATTAGGTCACATTGTCCATCAAATCTGCATGTGAAGGACAACTCTCTACAGAGTACTCTCTAGTACAGGGGTCGGCAACCTTTCAGAAGTGGTGTGCCGAGTCTTCATTTATTCACTCTAATTTAAGGTTTCACATGCCAGTCATACATTTTAACCTTTTTAGAAGGTCTCTTTCTAGAAGTCTATAATATATAACTAAACTATTGTTGTATGTAAAGTAAATAAGGTTTCAAAATGTTTAGAAGCTTCATTTAAAATTAAATTAAAATGCAGATCCCCCGGACCAGTGGCCAGGACCCGGGCAGTGTGAGTGCCACTGAAAATCAGCTCATGTGCCGCCTTCGGCACACGTGCCATAGGTTGCCTACCCCTGCTCTAGTACTTTGTTCAGTCTAGTGTAAATGACACAAGCAGTGCGGCGTCCTTCACTTCTCTTACGAGCAGCTACCAGAGCCCAACAGACCTCACTGTGATGTTTTATTTGTATTTTAGGCAGCAATGATGGCTGAGGAGCTTAAAAAGGAGCAAGATACTAGTGCCCACTTGGAGAGAATGAAAAAGAACATGGAACAGACTATTAAAGATCTACAGAAAAGGCTGGATGAAGCAGAGCAAATAGCACTGAAAGGTGGCAAGAAGCAGATCCAAAAGCTGGAATCCAGAGTAGGTTTTCTGCCCTGTTTATAGGCCACGGTCGCCTGCTTACAGATACTTCATAAAACTCCAACCAAATGGTTGCTCTGGACACAGTCACTTCTGACCTTGGCTTAGGGACCATCTATAAAGTACAAAGAACTCTTTAGAGATGATATTAAGAGTAAACTCTTTTAAGAGTTACACCTAGGCCAGGTGTGAGGTCCATGTGGACCCATCTTTCTCTTTTATCACCTAACTTGGTTGACATAGCAATGTGGTTGTTGTAGCCAACACCAATATGATAAAGCCCAGGCTTAAAATAAGGCATAAAGTCTGAAAATGGCAAAAGCCTCTATGCTTCCAGCTTAGCTTGTGAACTCTTTGGAGTTTTTGTATGTTTGTACAGTATCTAGTGTGTTGGGATTCCAGTCCTGATTGGAACCGCTAGTGCAATATAAACATTATGTAATAAAAATGCATAATAAACCAGATAGAAAAGCAACATCTACATGGAAATTTTGGTCTACTGCTGAAGCACATACTTGGCGATAGTGACAAAGGGTCCTGCGAAGATGAATGTCACTGAAACTGTAAATTAAACTACTTGATGTTTAAACATGTGGAATTACATAATGTTTCTTCTCTTGCAGGTACGTGAGCTGGAAAATGATCTCGAGAATGAACTCCGTCGTAATACAGAATCCCAGAAAGGAGTCCGCAAATATGAGAGACGCATAAAGGAGCTGACTTATCAGGTACTGGAGCAAAACCCCCAGTCCTGCTAAGTATTATACTAAACTGTAGGTCCCTGGAAGAAATGTTTTCTTTCAAATACAGTTTTGCACTGCATCCTTCTCCCAGTGGAAATCAGCATTGCTGAAAGCTTTGTCAATGCTAGTGAATTTTAGAAAAACACTTTCCAATGCTACCCTCAATTAACCTAAACAATTGTTAGTCTAGTGTAGTTGGCACTTTGGCATTTTTAACACGGTGCTATTTAAATTTGCTGAGGTGCAGCCATAGGTACCATTTTTCTTGATGCATGAGAAGGAGACTCCAGCTCTCTCACTTAAGTGTTGACCCTGCTAACTAGAATAAAATAGATTAAACTTACTTTTGTCATTGGAATAAAAAGATAAGCTTCCACATGCACAGGCAGAAGATCTGCACTGGAGTACCATTTTTATTCTATAGAGTAGAAATGCCCTTCATCATCTCTGCATCATCCGTTAGGGAGTCTGTATCACTATGCTTGATACTTTCTAAATATATTTCCTGATCGTTCTTTCCACTGCTCAGTGTCGCTTTTACTGTTGAAACAAATACATACCCTTGGTCAGTCCACTAGAATATTTTTTCTTCTCTCTATACATAGTGATACAAGTTGAACTGTTTTGTTTCAAAGTCCTAAATTTCCAAGGTGATAGAAATAATTGCCTCACAAAACTTACTCCGTTTGTGACATACTTATACCGTCTGCCTGTCCATATCATTAAAGCATTTTTTTCTGTTTGCTTGGTGTAGGCAGAGGAAGATAAGAAGAATCTGACCAGGATGCAGGAGCTGATCGATAAGCTGCAATTAAAAGTGAAAAGCTATAAGCATCAAGCTGAGGAAGCTGTAAGTGACAGGAACAGTTGTGACATGGAATGGGTTTTTTATGTATTTATTTATTTAATCAAGTCATGCCCTCACTTACAATTGCATCCTTGGTCATTTGAGCCCACATCCCCAGAGACATTTAGGCACCTCCCATTGAAACCAATGAGAGTTAGGCACCTAAATACCTTTGAGGATCTGGGTCTCGGGGCCTTCATGTACTAAAAATCATTTAGCAGCTTTATTAAATATATTCAGTTTAGCAGAAGATCTACGTAGTCCTGATTTACACCGTGCCCTCCCTACCTGTTCCACCTTAAGCAGCTTGCACTTGGTGTTGTGTATGGATATAGTTTTCAGGGGCTGTCTTTCTTTGTATCCTGGGCAAGGGGTTTGGATCAACCAGAGTGAAACTTTTCATGACATTCTGTTAACCCGCTAAGTCAGTGATCACTGAAAAATGCCTATAACATAGTTCCATGTTAAAAGGGTTTTTCTTTTTTCCATCCTGAGAGTTTCCCTTAAAATGGGGAATACTGCTGGAACCCGCAAAACATTTGACTAAATGTTTGCGTCGCAAAGGTTGGTTAAGCCCCACAGATATTTGCCGCTTAGTCTCCCACACTTGAACCTTGGCTGACACTGAAGATCATCATCTTCAAACCTACAGGGGAAAAATGTGTCTAATCCTTTGTCTTACCAGGAAGCACAATCCAATCAGTATCTTGCAAAGTACAGGAAGCAGCAACATGAGCTGGATGATGCTGAAGAACGGGCTGAAATAGCTGAATCTCAAGTTAATAAACTGAGGACCAAGACAAGAGATATTGGGATAAAAAAGGTACGGTGTTATTCTGCAGAATAAGTGAGTCTCCGCACACTGACACATGTGCACACATACTTGCAGAGGAAGGCGAACTGATCAGCACAGCTCTACAAAGGTACTATACGAGATAGGAAAATTATTCCATATCATAAATTTGAACCAGATCGAAATATGAGTTTTCAATGCAGCCTTCTATTTTTTTACATTACGGAAAAACTTTGGGAGGGTGACCTGAACCTTATAACCTGCCAAAGAAACATGTTCTTAATATATCCCAATACAAACTTTACTACTTAAGCAGCTGTAACCCAAAGAGGGTTTTTTGCTAAACATAATCAAATACTATTCTTTGATAGTGGATATTCAAAAGCACCATTTCTCGCAATGTAACATGGATTTCTACCTGTCCTATAGGGCCTCTTCCACAATACAGTGCAGCCTGAGGATCATGGCACTGGCAGATTTTTTAGTTACACACAATTTCACTTTCATCTTGAAACCGCACTTTCAGTGTGGGGGGTGATAGCTTTTGGAGTTGGGTGGAACATTCGTGGTTTGGGGTGTTAGTGATTGGCTGTATAGCACTCTAAGTCATTCATATTTTATTAATATTTGTGGGTTTGCATTTGGAGTAAAGAGAACTTACCACCAAGCTGTTGAATAAAGATTCCAAATTACTTATCTTTGGGGATGTGGTGTGAACTGCAGTTGAGCGTAAGAGAGCCTTTGATTGCCCAGATGGTAACAGGTTCAAGTACGCTCCTCATCCACATATGAGGCATTGAACAAGGAGTTGGAATGCTCTTTATTGTGTTGTCCAGTTGACTTAGAGGCATAATCTAAACTCTGAGGCTCAAGATTTTAGAAATGCATGACTCGGGTGACCAACCCCAGCAATGACGGGATAAAGAAAACCTTTCTCTCTCGTCCCAGAACTTAAAAAGGAGACTTTATCCCATCACCCTCTCCTTTCTGTTATGATATCCATTGTGAGGCAAGATTTTTCCAATTTCCTTTGCCCTCCCATACCAGAACAAATAATACTGGGCTAGGTCCAGTGGTTTAAATTGATATACCTTTCTCGACAATGAAGCCCCACTGCCTTACGCCAGCTAAGGATTTGGCCTCCTATACCTTTAGGCCCTGTGCTAGTGCTGGAACTATTGGTGAAAATGTGGCTTCCTCAATGTTGTGTAGCTTTTAAAAAAAAAAAAAAACTTTGTGGTTTTTTTATTCATTTGCTAGTTTTTGAAAGTGCATTTTTCTGGTGACTGTCCAAGTTCTTCCAGTCCCATGAATTCATGTTACACACAAAGCCAAGCTGTTGCGTAGATTTATTAAAATCCATCTTGTATTTCATTTAATCTTATAAATTATTATAATTTATACTATTACACATAATTATCTTAATATGATTCAAATAAATTTTAATTTAATTATTAATAGCAGCATCCATTGTTTGCATTCATCAGTCATTGACAGACAAGTACCTTGTTCCTTTCTTAAGGAGCTTAGTCTAAGGACAAATAAATAGAGGTTCAAGAGAATGGGGTACAGTTTTCCTTGTGAGCTAATTCACTGTACGCCACATGGCAAATGTAGATCTTCAAGAGGGACTTAAATGCTGAGAGAGTAAAGGCCTTGTAGATGAGCTCAGTAAGTCTGTGCCCTGCAAAGAGGCAGTGTGGAAAAAGGCCTGGAAGTGCTGATATGAGAAGTTGACAGATTAGTGGCTGAGGGTGGGAACACCCGCAGAAGGGAGGCAGCGGATGCTTCCATTTGCACATGCTTCTCTCCGTCAGGAGAGGATGAGAAACATGTGACAGCCACCAGTCACGTTGCTTACTGAACTACTGATAGGTGCTCAGATGCTACAGTGCTGAGTGCTGTGCAACATAAGAACCGACGTAGAACAGCAGGGCACCGTGCAGCAAGACAAGCTCAGATAAGTAGGGCAGGGCAGCGTTATGTGGAACACTGAAGCTGCTAAGCTTGAGTTATATGCAGTAGCCAACAGAGGGATTCTAAGAGGGGAGTGACATGGTTGAAATGACTGGTGCCCCTCCGTGCACTAAAGTTCCCTAGTGCACTTTGATCTACTCCCATTTCACAACGGGAAAGATCAAAAAGCACTAGGGAACTTTTAGAGCACAGCAGAAAGGTCCACACAAACACTTAGTGCCCAGGAAGGTAGTGATGGATACATATACACCCCGACTTGCTGCAAACTAAGTGTTCATGTAGACAAGCCCTTAGCGAGAACAGTTTCAATAGAATGTGCTGTATTACCACAGAACTGTGGTGTACGTCCTAACAGTGCTGCATGAAATTCATAAGCTGTTAATAACATACATAATAGTATCAGGACAAGAAACTGATCTGTATTCTCAGCTGGTGGAAATCAGTATAGCACCACTGACTTCAAGAAAGCTAAGCCAGTTTATGCTTATGCCCGTGAGAATTTGTTAATAGAATGGGTGAAAGGGAATAGAAGCTTTTGTCTGATACTTGAGAATTTACTCTTTAAAAAACTATGTAAATATTTTCATTCTTAATTGAATCATACTGTCTCTCTCATAAAAATCACATTTCAGGTTCAAGAAGAGGAGTAAACATACTATGCACTGAGTAACTGAAGACTGAACAGTGTTTGATGCTTCCTATTAATTGATGAGCTACACAGTTAAAGTAGAATAGGCACCTTAAGAAATAAAAATGAAATATAAACCCAAACCAGATTTTGCAGTGTTTTTCTTTCCCTTACACTTGTTGAGGCCTGGTCCCAGAGCTCAAAAAAACTACTTGAATCCTGCTGATTGCCCTGCTTATTATCTTGGAACAAAGCCTAATTGTCAGTAATGCAACTACACACACACACACACACAACACAAGGACAAAGTCATTCACATTTCCGAAGTTAACATTCTTCATACAAAGAGTTTTAAAGTGACCATGTGCAGGGGGGAGCCTTCCACAGTTATGGCCCTATGCCACTTACTCACACCCATCCTGCCAGCCGCAGTCCCATACCAGTTTCATGTCGGAGAGAGACTGACAAACTCCTAACCCTCCCTCCCCTGCTGCTCTCCTCTTGGAAAGCTGAGCTTCAGCTCACCATCTTGACTTCCCATGGCTGTGAATGTGGGCCACTAGAGGTTTTGGCTCATCACAGCTGTGATGGGAGACCACCACCATGAAGTGACTGCAGACAGTAGGTAATTGATCTAGGGAAGCATTCATGGGTATACAGAGGTGGTGGGGTCTTGGGCAGAGATGAGGAGGAAACTGCATGGGAACCCACACAGGGTGATTCACCTATGGCTCCAAAACCTAAGATTAGCCTGCATTTTTAAAAACAGTCTACAGTCATAGCAGACAGAAAAAAGGCAACGTGACTCCTTAGCTGGACTTGTTTTAGGAAGAATGATAGAGGGGTTTTCGTGTCATCTGTGCATTGAAAATCAGCTGGCAGACAGAAAAATCTAAAATTAAAAAATTGGGTTTTAATTCCTCAGGGTAATATACCAATGTTATATGTGGCTTTTTTTAAGGTTTAGACTTTAAACCCAATTCTAGGTTTCCATTAATGTTTTTCCCTACCAGATTATAATTTACTTTGGCTTCCCATATTCACTCTGGCAGCCCTGCATGTCAGAAAACGTGTGTGTGTGTGTGTGTGTGTGTGTGTGTGTGTGTGTGTGTGTGTGTGTGTGTGTGTGTGTGTGTGTGTGTGTGTGTGTGTGTGTGTGTGTGTAGTGTGTGTGT